TTTCACGCCATTATGCGTAAGCGCGTTGTGTCGTTGCTGCGGCGCGTGCGCGGCAGCTCCAACGGCCTCCTGGCCATTGTTGCGGACAGAGTCGACGGCCCATTTGTACAGGCATGGGAGGCTCTTCACGCGACAGCAAGGAGAGATTAATTTAATGTAATTTAAAATTTGTATTAACTAACATAGTCATAAGGTTACAATTGTTACTAACACAATATGGAGATAATCTGAAATAAATATTATTATTATTATTATAGAGCGAAGGTAAAATAAGGGCTCGGTACACATGAATTTAATAGATGTAGATAATGAAAAAAGAAAAGGCTGTGACAAAAATACAATGATGTAAAAAGGTGCAATAGTATAAAATACACCCTATATAACAGTCTTATGAACAGTCCACTTTGCCCAAGAGGGCCTATATAAGTATTCTAGTGCCAAAAAAGAAGTAAATAACGTGAAGTTAGGGTTTTAATGAGGTTACTTCATGAGCACGTCCTTTCGGTTTAAGAATTTTGATGGGCGTGGTGACGGAAAGAACCAAAGTAAGAATAACGAAGAAAAGGAATTAGAGCACAATTCAAAATTTGGAAATTAAGTGGCCAGGTGCCAGAAATGAGGGCGACAAAGGTGAGATAACGATGAAGGAGGTCGCATCGTCGCAATACTAAAAACCGTAAATTTTGATATGCTACTTAAATAACAAGCACTTCACCTTGGGTGCTACATACTTTGGTTAGCTGGGTTTCAAACTTTTTTCAAATGAGTGATTCTTACCACTGTACCACAAAACGATAGAACAGAAATTTTCGGCGTGATAGAACGAACACCTTCTGCTCAAATTTCAACCAAATACATTCTTAACGATTTCTTTTTATTAAAAAATAAGTGCACATTTGACCACCATTACACCCGATGGAAAGTGACGATTAAGATGTATGCCTATTCACTCTCGCCTTGATGAGGTACAGGTTATAGAGTTCGAACCTTGTAGGAATTTGAAGAGACAACGCTCTGATCCGTGTCATAGTCCGATTCGGTAATCTGAATTTAGTTTAGTGGAAAAATGAGCTGCAAAGATGAAAAACGCTCTGAAAAACCGCCCACGTTTGTTAGCGAACAAAAGCAGAAAAAGTTGAAAATTAATGAGAACCTACTTTAAGATTAACGCGTGACTATTCAGACTGTCGACTTCATTTCTAAACGTTCACTGAATACTTTCTACTCTATCTGACACTTTGAAAAGATATACGCGCAAAAGGTTTCGCCAACGTTGTCAGACGTTCTGAAAGAAAAGTTAATAAGTAGGCATTACTGAACAAAATGCTACCCTATTATAATCCGATACAGAAACAATATTAACTACGATTTATATAAGACACTAACGCTTCGGCGGCCCAAAAAAACTATAATCTCAGTATAGAGTACTAAAAAAGCGACCTGTAAAGTTCTTGAAATTACGTCTATTTGTCTAGTTTTATTGAAATCGGTTACCGGAAAGTGCGCGAAACTGGATTCTCTCTTAGTTTGCCACCCTTAGAGGTGGAATATTTTATTCCAATTTAAACGGGACCAATACTGAGTTACCCTCTTTTCAACAAAATAATCTCAGTACAGAGTACTAAAAAAACCGACCTCAAAAGTACGTGGAATTACATGTATTTGCCAAGTTTTATTGAAATATCCCCTAGTTCGCCACTATACAGGACTTGACACAGCTGATAATAAAAAATCGGTTCTCACTACTCAAAGTATATTGAGAGAGAAAAACGCCTTGAATTGGAGAATAGCAAAACTAACCATTAAAATAATTGCTCCTTAAGTAAAATTTAGGCGCTATTTATAAAAATGAATGTTCATGCGTGATCAGCACCCTTAGAGGTGGATGATTTTCATCAAAATGAAATGGGACCACTATGGGGGTACCCTCTTTCCAACAAAAAAGAATCCTGAAAATCGGTTCACAAATACCGGAGTTATCGCGTAACATACATACAAAAAAAAACATACAGTCGAATCGAGAACCTCCTCCTTTTTTTGAAGTCGGTTAAAAGGAATCATCAAAATCGGTTCACAAATATCGGAGTTATCGCGTAACATACGTATAAAAAAATACTGGCGAATTGAGAACCTCCTTTTTTAATGTCGGTTTTTAAAAAAAAATTACACTTTAAGTAAGTAGGGCAGGGAGGTTGGTTATCCTCATATCACTGATATTAATACCTAGACTGCCACCACGAAAGTATTAGTCTTTTTAACCGACTTCAAAAAAAGGAGGAGGTTCTCAATTCGTCTGTATGTTTTTTTTGTATGTATGTACGCGATAACTCCGCCATTTGTGAACTTATTTTAATGATTCTGTATTTGTTGGAAAGAAGGTACCTCAGACGTGGTCGCATTTACATTTCAAGAAAATATTCCACTTCTAAGGGTGGTAAACTAGGGGAAAAATGACTTTTCAGGTCGGTTTTTTAACCGGAGGTTAGGTTATTCGAATTTAACTTGCTCTAAATATGGAGGTTTCTATTTTTCTACCGCAGTAACAGGATTACACATATTCCAAAAAACTCGAAATTCTTTTCAGCTTGTTAATTGAAAAGTCTTGAGCCATCCTATTCTCTAAGTACTTGTAAACGCAAGTAATAACGCGGCCTCAGCAGTGCTGTAGTCTTTTCTTTAAACCATTAAGAACGGCGGTGTGGGAAGTAACTTACCGTTGAGAGACGTAGCGTAAATGTCAAATTGTACATCATTGTTGTTGAGCAAAAGAACCTTCTCTTGCGCGCTCAATGAGCTCTGATTATAAAATGGCGGGCTACTGGACTAAAGGTCATCTGCGGATAACGACAACCCGCGCTTTATAATCTATACAGCCGTCTGGTTCTTTTTAATTTGAAGAACCCATTTGCGTAGAAGTGGCTATTGATTTGATTTTGACTTGAATGAATTCATTCGAGAAGTTTCATTTATATCGCACCAGTAGTCTTTAAATCTTAACGGTCATTTTAGCTGAGTACGGTTTTCATGACCGGATGGCGGATAAATAGGGATATTTAAGATCTTCGTGACCTTATAGTCCGCCAATGGCTGGTTACAATAAATATTGGTTTCGGTTTGGCACGTTTAGTTCAATTCAATTTTTTCAACGTTCATTTCAATTTTACGGTAATAACACAATTTGTATTTCGTTATCAGTTCGCCGTCTGTGCCATAAAAGTGAAATTGATATTTTTTCCGTACATCTTATTTTTCCCGACAAAACTCATACGTGAAGCTCTCACGTCTGTTTTATTCGATATTTAACTGATTTTTTTGCATAAGATTTGTTGGATATTATCGTCATCATCACATCAGCCGGAAGAAGTTCACTGTTGAACATAGGCCACCCCCAAATTTTTTCCAGACTAGCCGATCGGTCGCGACGTCCATCCATCGGTTATCCGCCGCGCTTACCAGGTCTTCCGTCCAGGGGGCCGTCCCACTGAACGCCTTCCGGTTCGTGGTCTCCATTCGAGAACCTTTCTACCTCAATGGCCGTCTCCACAACTCGTTGAGTGACTGAACTTTTTTACGAGGCCCATAGTAAGTGACGTCTCAGAGCCGTAGGTCATCGTTAGCAACACGCCGGAACAATTACTGTCAAACATGTAATACGGACGGAGAACGGGTTTAGTCTCCATGGACACACGGTAGTGTGACATCCAGCATCAGAAGGAATTAGTTCGACACCATGACACATGCTTTGTTTCTGATGTGTCATTTATTTATCATACAGAACTTGTTATACCCTTGTCAAGTAAATGTAATGAACCAGTGACCTGTATGTGGAATCTCGCCAAGTTCGAGTTTTGTAGCAGGTAACGGATTGTTGGATGTCTATTGTGCATTTGTACAGTGCCACTTCTTATTTTTGTCTAGGGTTAGTTCTCAGCAACTTTAATTGAAGCTGGTCCTCACTTATAGCGCGAAACACACAGAAGCGGGTACGGGTCGGGCGCGAGACGGTTCGGGACAGCGGCGGGTCTAATCTTGCACCCGCGCTCGGTGTGTTGCCGTCCATATAAATACACGGAATTAGTCCCACCGCAGTCCCGACCCTACCCGCACCCGACCCGCACCCGACCCGCACCGCTTTGTATCTATTTGCCAAGTTTTATTGTAATCGGTTAACAGAAAGTGCGCGAAACCGGATTCGTCCCATAGTTTGCCACTCACAGGTGGAATATTTTCTTAAAATTTAAACGGGACCAATTCCGAGATACCCTCTTTCCAACAAAAAAGAATCATCGAAATCGGTTCACAAATGCCGGGAGTAATCGCATAACATACAAAAATAATTACAATCGAATTGAGGTCTTCCTTCATTTTTGAAGTCGGTTAAAAATTGATAAATCGTGCTTACTTCTGAGTAAAAGGCTAAATTTAAAAATAAACATAACAAGCTTTGGGTTTTTTAACCTTGCCTAGTACCTACGGATATGGTTCCTTCGTCGGCATTTATTCAGTGAGCAAAGTTGAAAATTATGATCCTTGGCTACCTATAACAGTAGCACATGTTGTAGGAGACCTATGTTGTAGGGTAGGCCCTATCTCAGATAATTGTTTTTTCGGCAATTTTTTTTCTTGAACTTCGTTCAAAGTGTTTCTTAAACACATTTACTTAAGGCGACGATAGCCAAAATTTTTTTTCTTGTGTAACAGCAATTTTTTGTTTGTAATCGTCCTTGATTTAGATAAGAATGGCCTGTTCTTAGGGGTCGATGCAACCTCAAATGGCTTCGGTTGGTTCCGCATAACAGTGAAAGTGTTGAATTAATAACTTTGGAAGAGATATATAGTAAAATTGAGAATATAAAATGCAAGCATATCTTATACTTATGTTAGTTTTAATAGGTAGGTACCCATATCCGCAGACCTGGCGATCTAGGCTTTTGGCAAAGCGAAATGTATCACTGTTGCAGCAAATCCATTAATTTATCTAATTAGAACATTTGTTGCAGCCCCACTAAAGGCGCCGCGGGCAGCAAGCTAGACATCATCACCAACGTCAAGTCGCAGATGACCGGCTGGCTGGGATCTGGAATCCCTATCCCGGGGCTGAGGAAAAATGAGGCACCTCCCGCTGAGCCCACCGAGCCCATTCCAACTGAGCCCATCGAAGAGTCCAAACCCGAGGGCAAAGATGATGATGATAACTCTAGGTATATTAGGTACGAGGGGTTGGCGGATGCAATGAGTTTACGCAGTTATTTCTTCATATTTTTCTATTCACATCAACCTTTTTATGCTTAGAATGTTGTTCGCCGTTTCTATTTCCGTTGTTGCTGTTGTAGGATATCACAGAGCCGTAGCTAGATTAACATTTGCTACTATCGTACTAACATTTTGCCTTGATTTGACTTCGTCTAGTTTCTTTCTCGTTTTATTATATCTAATTACCTATGTATAAAGTTTGAGAGTTATTAATTAATCATATTTCTCTCTACGGCGCTGTAATTGTAAATACCGCGTTAAAACCCAGAACAACGGAATGAAAAACGACAGACCGCGTTCTTTATAAATATCCAAGCTAGGACAAAATCATTTAAAATTATTAATGAGAATGTTGTATGGACTTGAACATAAGGTTTTATCATGTATTTTCACTATGCTTTTCAAGTGGCAAAGACGCACAAAGACTTGTATTCAACCAAGTGTAGACTAACGCTTTGAGATTCACGTTATTTATTTCTTCAGCTTCATAGCACAACACGCAGAGACGAGGATTGTCGGCACCTCCACGATTGTTTGTACTATTCATGTGACCCCTTCGATGTGTTTATATGTTGTCTGTACAGGCCGCGGCTCCGGCCATTTCAAATCTTGCAAGTCAACTGTTTAACTAAATACTTGTTTGCTGTCTTGTATATACCTATTCATTGTGTATGAATAAGTATTTTAAAAACAATGTTATCGGTTTTCACTTCACCGAGACGTGGAGAATAAATTTAATCATTGTATTACGTTCATACCTCCTAGTAATTTGCGTTGTTGACATTACAATATTCATTATAGCGTAGTTAAATATGATTACGGTATCGTGCTCCGATAGAATTGTTGAAATCTCGTGGTTGGCCAGCCTGACGTCAGTTGCTGCAGCGGCGACCCGCCGCGGGCTTAACAGTCCATGCGCAGCACCGTCGTCGGCGTGCAGTTACATCTTTCGATATCACTCAGACCGCACGTGCAGAGTTTGTGAACTCATTTATTCTGCTCAAACCCCATTTTTTATTTTCATTGTTGAGCATTCTTTAACTATTTTTTCTCAAGTCACTGTATGTTTAGTGTTGTCACATACGACCAATTAGGGAATTCCCAACTTGCGTTGAAATAGAAACTCGCTCTTATTCCTAGCTCACCGACGAGGGACAGTTCCAAATAGGAAACTATGTCCCAGTACGAGTAAAACGTTATTGCAATAGCTCCCCAAATGGGATTTTATATCGATATCCAGTTAGCATTAATGGTGTCCGGTCACCGAATGGAGAACTTTCATTAGAGAAATGGATTCCGAGCGTAACTATCGGCAAATATTTCCTTTAACTATTAAACTCTGTTAGTGACATTGTTTGGCTTTGCTATGTCGCCTGCCGAAGTTGAAGGTCATCGCAAGTTAATAATTAAATCAGATGTTTTTTGTTGTCATTGTTTTCCTTTTTTGGAAGGAAAAAGGGAAAATCCTTGAAATTTAACAATTGCAATAATGGTTCAAAAAAAAAACGGCATTTGGAACTTCGTTCGACGAAGAAAACCAAACATGCGATTATTATTTTCATTCGATTTCTGAATGAGGCCGGAGTTCAAGTTGGGGGAACATTCACGATGGTCGCATTTGGCAGCACGTAAATGTTAGTTATAGATAAGAGTTTATAGCGCAGTTAATCGAATTTAATTTCTCCACAGTCGATAAATATAATTGCCTCTAGCTAGACAGACCCAACGAAAGGTGTGTGCTTGTTGATGTTGGACAAACTGCACAATTTTGGGACCCCAGTAAAAATTTCGGAAATTGTGGACGATTTAGTCTACGTACCTGTTTAGTTTTGTTTTTGGGTTTGTACCTGGGTTATGTTGAGTGCGACAAATTATACTAGTTTGGCGCCCATATGGCCGATGTCAATTGGAAGAATATATAACAGCATAAAGTATTGTATTGAGAGATTTGTGACCATGGAGCTGATCGGCCCATGCTTCACACATGAAACTCTGTTTCACTGTGTAAACAGTGTCACGCAGAGCTGTCTTATACAGGCTGTATATTTGAAAATGGGACATACTTACAGAGTGCGTTATATTCCTGATTCTCAACCCAAAGAAATAATAAACTAATGAACTTAAACTTTACAAAAAATATTTTTTAATTTTTTTTTTATCGACTACTACTTGAGCACAACATTAGTTATCGAAATCTATGCACATCACTATTATTGCTCCGACGCAGCGGCGAAAAGCAAAGCACAGGTCGGGGGTGAGAACGCGGGCGCATACGCGAAATTGCTCAGTCCACGCGCGACCTTGATCTAATGAAGACACGTAAATTATTTGTCCTTCCGCTCGCCCGATCGCCGCAAAATGGGTATTTATATTAACGTGGAATTGACTGAGATGGTGCGACTTTACGCAATAAGTGGTGATAGTGTGAGGCAAGCTATTGAAATGTTCCCAAATCGGAGTTTACGCGGAGGAGGTGAACAGTGTTTCGACACTGTTGCGTTGCGTGAGAGGATTATCTCAGCATTTTATACTGTGAGACAAAATGTGTTTGTGTTGTACAATTTAAAACAAAATTTACTATGCCGTGCTAGACTATGCATTGTGGAAAACGGTGGACATTTTGAACACTTGCTCCGTACCACGTAAGTGTAAATAAACTGTAAATAACTAAAAAATCAATCATTGTAATTAATTTGATTTCACATTTTTAACTACGCCAAAAACCTCAATTCTTATTAAATGACAACTACTTACTAAAACATTTCGATGATAGTTCAAGTAAAAAACAATTAACATAACCTAAAACGTAAATGTGAAATCATTGTTATTGTTGCTGTCTCACTCGGCGCTCGCTTGGTAGCATTCCCATTGCACTCGAATTTAAGCGTAAAGGGAATCGGTTTATTCCTATCTGCACTTCAAAACACATTTGTTGATTTATTTTTTGTTCTATCCCATATCCTAATTTTATTTTAGTCTATGTTAAGTTGTAACATGATTTACTATGACATTTATGAATATGTCTCACTTTCAAATATACAGCCTGTATATTATTATAGTTGAGTATAATTGTGTATTTTGTTCAAAACACCTTGAAATAATTCATATGGTAGGACCAGAGATGGGCAGTGGGTTAAAACTCAATCAACCCGTTAGGGTTTTAACCAAAGCAGCGGGTATTTATTCATTTCTGTCCAAAATCGTGGGCAGAAACGGCGAATATGAGGTACGGAATAATTCCATACTTGTTACACGTGTATCCATGTAAAAAAATATTTTTTAGACGAACAAGAATCAACTCCACACAATGCTCACATTGCAATCTCGTGGATTCTCACTAAGGTGCACATTTAAGAAAATCGATTAAGTGCATACGGCCTCACGATTTTTTATATCGAATTATTACAATGCGATTTTCAAATGAACCGATTCAATATAAAGGCAAATGTTGACCTACTAGATCAGAAAGCAATAAACATTTTGCAATAATATCATTAGATCAGAAAAAAAGACTCGATTTACACCAATATTTGGTTTGAATAGGTTTTGCCCTCCATTAATTAGTTTTAACCCGATTTTTACCCGTTTTTAAAACCTAGGCACTTGCTCATCTCTGGGTAGGACCAACCCGCGAGTGCAGAGTTGGCTTTTTAAAATGCGATATTTAATTGATTCCTATACAAATGCCGACTAAAAATATAAGACAAAGGCTTGCATAGTCGAAAACAACCAGGTTTTTCGTCTGTGGGGCAAAAGCGTCTTCAAAAAATAATACAATTTAAAAAAATGGCACAATACATATGTATGTTACAGTACATAATATGTACTGTGTTACAGTACATAATATGTACTGTATGTACTGTAACATATGTACATAATATGTGTTACTTTTTCCCACCACCATTTATGAACACTTTAGACAACAGTTGAGTAAACGTGACAATTTTTTTTTTACTGTAATGTTGAAAAGACGCTTTTGCTTAAAAGACGTAGTTGCATCGGTTGTATTTTATACTGTATTGCCGTGACTGCAGATTGTTTTTGCGATGTTTGCTAAATTTAGGCACATTTCTGCAGCGCCACCGGCGGGGCCGACAGCAGACCCGCTTCAACTGGCGGTACTCCCACTGAGGAGCAGCCTGCCGGCGTTGGGAACGGTAAGCAGTCAACGCATTGCACCTTCACTGTAGTCACTGCCTTGTAGAACAGTTTTATAACTTTTATTATTACCTGCTTAAGTTTGTTGAGTACCTATCATGCCATTGATTTAAATTTTTTGTTAGTCCATTGGTGGTCATTAAGGGAATCACGACACTTTTCAACGCGGAATCGCTTTGGGCCGGGGAGAAAAACAGTTTTCACTTCTCATGTTCTAAAAGTATGTCAATACAGCCTTACGTAGCGGGAGTAAAGTACATCCTTTATTCCCTAAGGAGTAAAAAGTACCAAATTTTTTAATTTACTTCGAGTGAACAAACTCAAACAGCCGGTTAGTACGTTCGGTTTTAGTTTATTGCAAAAAAAATACGGCAAAATCTTCAGAATTTTGGTTCGTAATTTTGTTATAGAGCGGAAACGACTGAATTTTTTTTCTGGCAATCGAAGTGAAAAGTAAAGTTTTTACCTCGAGACTAAAAGCTTCGGGTATATATTGGCTCGTTTTAGTCCCTCGATAAGAAATCTACTATGTTATTACTCCCCTGGTTCGGCATCTCAAATTGAGTCTTAGGGCCTTCAAAAAGTTGCTTGTAAAATGGCGCAACACCCGCGCTTCTGTATTTTTTAGTTCACTAAAGCGTGATATACCCGCCGTGCTCGCGACCCGACAGGCGCCCGACCAGCAGCCGTTCTCTGCTCGGGTGTCTAACCACCTCGGGTATATATTGGCTCGTTTTAGTGCCTCGCTGAAAAATATACTATTATGTCCATGCAATAAGAGTGAAAACGACGTGCGTTTCATTGCGGCTCGACACGTGCTGGCAAAGAATGGGCTTCCTGCCGAATTCCCGATTGCATCTTTGCGACACCGACGACGGCGACGGTTGGCCGCACTCGAAAACATCCCAAGGAATGTGATGGCTGAATATTGCCGAAGATTCCAGACCGGTTCCCTTTGACGCCTCACTCTAATCGTTTGACGACGACTAAGCGGTGGATTAGACGGCCGGTGGGCTTAAAGCGATAAGCGAGTTGATACGTGGTCTGGTCAACCCGATTTATTTTCGATCAGTGTTGTGACTCCCTTAAGTTTGACAAGCTAAGTGAAGTCCATTTTAATAGAAAATAATTTTGATTGAAACTTTTTTTTTAATTATTCTCAGTTGTAAGCTATTATTTTGCACGATTCCAGGTCAGCAGAGCAAAGCCTTTTTCTCAGTTGATGCTATTGAAGTACCTGACATGCAAGAGTGTTAGTATTTTTTGTTTGTCACTTATGAGTGGTTCAATTTCCTGTTTGGCTTAAACCCTTTTATGTTTTGCTTTCTACATCATGCACTATACACTGCAAAATGTCCCCTGTCCGTCCCTTACCCCAGACCGCGAGGCTTGAAGCTTGACAGTCCGGGCAAGAACAACCCTATAAAGCGGGTCACGGGCCTAAGCGCTGAGGCGGAGGATGTATAATAAAAAACTTTTAGTTTAAAATTGTGACCTAGACGGAAGTGTGAACAAAAGCTCAACGCTTCATCACTGGGTGTTATGTTTCATAAAACGTGTTGTATTTGCTTGTTGGGAACGTGTATTGTCGATGGAACTCCACAATAATATGAGCGCAACAATAACAATAAGGTATCGTCTACAGTGACTACCAAGGCAGTGGCGGGCGCCAAATCGCTGGGCAACTTCTTATACTCCGCTGTGAACAAGGCCGGGGCTAAAGTTAGCGAAGCCAGCGCTAAGATCAAGAAGACCGTCGAGGAGAACGTAAGTACTCTTATTGCAATTATTTTACGGAACACAGACAGCTAATGCCTTAGTGACTACTAGAGATGTGCACCGGTCGTAAATTCGTCGACGGCGGCGTTTGATGATTTCTCAACCGGCGGCGGTGGCGTGATCGGCGTATCATATATTTTTCAAGTTTAAAAACCAAACTTTGGATTCATTTTTCAATGTTTTTTACACTTTAACTTGCACTTTAGCAGGTATGTCGGTACTGTTGCCAAAAATAACCAACTTAAAGTTTGTACAAAAAAATAAAAGATCGTAATTAAATTATTGCATGAATAGGATCTACATAGACGGGAATGTAGTTAGTTTTAATTGTACGGAATTCTTGTATTGAAATTTAGTAAATAGTTAACAAAAAGCTAATACTTGATTAAAATGAAACAATATTTCGCCGGTCAAGCGTCCATAATGCGTTAAGTGTCATAATAATAGTACTCCTCATTCGTTGCTGTTAAAGTTTAATTTAATTTTCAAGCCACTTAGCTGTTCTCAGTAGAGCAATTTCTAGTGGATATTTTTCAACAAATGCATGTTAATCTCACCTAATACCAGCAAAATTAATCTGGGTTGGAATAAATTGATTCCCGCTCTAGTTTATTGAAAATATACCTTTCCATGGAAATACTAAAGTTGGTACGCGGACTACCGTAATGTGACGCCAACGCAAATTCTGCTTACGTGACAAAAAGTTGAACTCTGATTTTATACCCGTCATCATAATTTATACACTGTGAAAAATGGCTTGATGCATTAACTGGAAAACTAACCTTGGCGGAATGATATAACGTCGTAAATATCAATTTCCCTCGCGATCCTAGCGCTGGTACTCATTTAGTTGCTAAGGACTGGAAAGTGATACACACATAAGAACAAAAACAGTACATAAACAGCTTAAATGTAATGTGGGCCAGTGTATTCACTCTAAGGCGACGATATATCGTTTTAGTGATTGAATGAATGTATGGCACCACTGCCATTCCACAGACGCTCTATTCAGACTCAACTGCCATTGCAACTAGATTTTAGCAGAATGTCAAATATTATCATAATTGCATTGTAATCTTAGAGAGGTTTTAATGGAATTACAATAACCCGTGCTTCCAGGACAATTAGCAGACTTGGGGTCTTGTATTGTAGTCTTCTAACAACTTGTACGTATAATCACGCGTTGAGAGTATATTTACGTATTTAAGTATGACAAGACCCTTAATATTCAAAAGTATATTATCTATGATTACTATTGAAGTTCCTGTCCCGACATCCAATTGAAATTTCCTTTGCCAAGAAATATTCAATTCCACTGTTCAAAGTAAGATCTCTTTAACCGTAAACAGGGTCTTGACACTGAATAAATTACTTTGTTATTCACGATACGAATTAAACATGTGCTTTGAATCTACCAAGGAATCAAATGCATTAATTAATTGAAAAGAATTAATTGCTCCAAGTCCTGTTATGCATATAATATTAATGACAGTTGGCTCGGTGGATTGGTAGTTTTACTACTAGGTCCATTGTGATTGCCTTTGACAATATTTGTAGCTGTTCCAATTTTCTGTAATTTTTTTAACGTTGAATGTAATCACGTCTGCTTACAATATTTCCTGATTTTAACCGACGTTGTAACCCTACTCAGTACGTGTTTGTCTAAAAAAAAGTTCAATTCGCTCTAGGCTTGGATTTTTTTCTGCGTTTTTTTACTGATATCTATCCTCCTCCTCCATGGACGTGTAGCCTACTCTACGTCATTTCCTGCACGAGTTCTAGGGGAGAATAATTTATGTTGGATGTACCATAAGTGATCTTAAATACTTACCTTCCTTAGTTATACGAACGATAAATGTCATTTGGAAAGACTTCTATTTCAAAAATTGCACGAAGCTTGACACAGAGAATCAATTTCAGATTTGACTATAGTTACAAAACTTATTATATTATTAAGATTTACATGCACCTATAGTGAAAAATGGGTGGTTTGTAGTAATGTGAGACAACTCGTTGATGACTAACATTTCAGTCAGCCGTGACCATGAGCTTTCAAAGGGCCCGAAACATTCGTTTTTCTGAAAACGTAAGTACTCGATACAATTTGAAATGTTTTTTTTTTAAAGAGATATCTAGTAGTAGTTCAGATCAAAATCCTTATTCGGTTTTATCCTACTGTCACAAAGTTTTAATTAATAAAATCGAACTCGAATGCCTATCGTTGCCGGACAAGTGTATGACATTTGTCGGCTTTAGTTCATTTTTTTCGAACGTTTGGTTGTCTTACACCACGCTAACAAGGACAACGAGACGCGGTATTGGACAGAGCGAGATATAAGTTCGGAATTGGTTAAGTTCTGCGATTGTTTTCTGTGCGACTCGGTTTGTTCTTATTTTTTGTTTTGTTCGTTGTTCGTTTTAACGGCGGTCATCACCGGTACTTATTCTTTCTGTTGTGTGCGGTGTTCGCGATCTGAAATACAATTTTGGAATTTGATGCTTTCTGGAAAATGCTTAATAGTTTTCCATTACTAAAATTACCGTGTATCAGTCAAAGGGATTCAGCGAGGATTACAGACTAACTTCGACAGCTAAATCTAGAACAAGTACTAACTAATTGCACATTCCAAAAGTCCTTTCAAACCCTCTTTCTCGTTCCGGCATGAGGATGCTCCGTTTGCCTTTTGACGCAATAATTGCACTTACATTCTGCAATTCGCTGATGCTACCAGTAAAGTTTCCGTCAAACGGACGCGCTGGACCCTTTGAAATTCCGGGAGCTTTGTGTTCATTAAAGCGCTGTTCGCACCTTTCGCAGTTGTTATCAGAATCAGTGTGTGAGTTCTATTGCGAGTGCTTTTTATTGTTCTAGTTGTAGTTCGTTTTGCGCAGTTTTCGACTTTTTAATCCTATATACAAAGTTGTATTGTCCCGTTCTACATGGTTGCATGCTCAATTTTCAGCGTCCTTACATTTTACTGACAAAGTTGACGATCCCTTGGTATTTGTTGTGATAAGCTCTGTAATACGAACACGAATGTAATTGCAAATTTCTACAACTCGGACAAAGACATGACCGTCAATATTGCCTACATAAAATTGGCTCTGGATTAAGGAGGCCGCGGATTTATGAAGACTTCTGCAGATCCGTATGTTTGAATAATACCTTTTTGCAGAATATTTATTACAAAATAAAGAAATTTCTCCACATTGGCCGATCAAAGCTGGTGATTATTGAATTATCGTTAATTTAAAAAGACAGAGTTGTTATCATGGATCCAGTTGTTATACACTATTCTTTTATAAAAGACATCGATGCGTGGAATATTACAATGATAATAATTTTATCGGTTTTTCTAGACTTAGTCTAGTTTTAAGTGAATCGTAATTTAAGCCCGCGTTGCTGAAAAGCTGTTCACTTTGGGATATCTTGAGTGAAACAGTTACAAATAACACCTCTTAAAGGTGACGGCATCGTTTATACTTAAACTTGCTTAGGGAAATCAATAAGCTGCGACGGAAATCAAATTCAAATTCAATCAAAATGTTTCCAATTACCTTGCGCGTAACGTAAACTCAAACATTATTTATTTGTTTAGAAAACGAATTGGTCTTTGTCTGCACTAGAACTACTACTAATTAGCACTAGTACTTAACAAGGTTTTGCGTAAAACCCCTTTCCTGATCTTGGGGAATTTTGTCGTGACTTGCAAAACTCCGCATCCGGAAAAACTCTCCATCCGTTTATGGGAATGTCGGATGCGGTTGCTGATATTTAAAAATGTGCGGATGATCCGCGGTTGCGGATACGGATGCAGACGGCATCCCTACACTGGAGCTGGTTAGGTATGTACTTAAATATTCATAAATGAAATGAACTAGTGTTCAGGACATTGTGCTTCAATTGTTTTGTAACCCATATATGGCAGAAACTGGTACAATTCGTAAACGTGATCGTGCACTGGCAGGGCGCCAAGCGGAACTGGGGCGCTGCAGCGGTGTAAGAGGTAGGCAAGGGCAACGTATATGTGCCATTGTTATATAGTATGTTGAGAGATGCTTGTTGTTCTTGACATATGATATGAGACATTTAGCTTTCTTGCTTCAGTCAGCAGTTACCACTACGGAAATCAAGGCATTAGTGGTTTTTGAAATGACAATGTGTAAAAGAGAAACGTTGAATCGTCGAATCGAGTAGTAGAAATCATAACTAGTACTTTGAACTTGTCGTCAGCAGTATCTTCCTTACAATTCTCTATTTGAAATTCTGTGGCTTCTCAGATCCAATTTACGTAGACGTTATACGGCTATCATTGGTTCTATTCACTTATCCATCAGGTGGGCTGCCATGCCATGTCCATTCTCTGCACATAAAAGTTAAGAATTATTTGTGTTTCTTCTCGTAGTTTGCTGTTTGCAAAGATGGGCAGTGAGTAAAAACACATCGACGGGTTGATGGTCAAGCCCGGGATTTAACTGGGTTATTACCCAAGATTTTTACCCATTTCTGCCCAAAATCGTGGGCAGAATTGGGTAAAAATTAAGAATTGGGTGAAATTGGTATAATTTCACGCAATACCCACATTGCAATCCTGTGGATTCTCAATACTGAGGATGCACATTACGATTCGCTTTTTATGAAGGTCGATTCAAGTGCATATGATCTAACGATTTTTTGAAACGATTTGTTTTAATTTTTGAATTTATTTTAATGCGACGTTCAGGCGAATGGATTCAATAGAAAGGCAAATTGAATTGTCTAGATCAGAAAGCAATTTATAATGATATCATCCAATTTGAACAAAACTCGATTTACAACAGATAGTTAGTTGTAAATAGTTTTTGCCCTTCATTTTGGGCGTTCATGGGTTTTAACCCGATCTAAACATTAACAAAGTGCCGGGACTTGTTAAGGTTTAAATGTAGAGTGTGTGCGTTATTATTATTATAGATTTTAATTCCTTTTTTTTTAAACAAACAAACGCTTG